AGTAAGGCACTTGTTACTAGAAGCGATGCACTTGTTCCTAGTAGCTTCTTGTTACTACTAGTAAGGCACTTGTTACTAGAAGCGATGCACTTGTTCCTAGTAGCTTCTTGTTACTACTAGTAAGGCACTTGTTACTAGAAGCGATGCACTTGTTCCTAGTAGCTTCTTGTTACTACTAGTAAGGCACTTGTTACTAGAAGCGATGCACTTGTTCCTAGTAGCTTCTTGTTACTACTAGTAAGGCACTTGTTACGAACGAAGCGATGCACTTGTTCCGTTCGTAGCGCCTAGGAATGCTCCGTTCGTAGGAGACGAGCCTCAGCGTCTGAAGTCCGAATCTTCACCTCGTCACCGACAATGGGCTCCATATTTGGCCTTGGAGGCTTGTAAGTGCATCCGGGAACAGAAAAAAAAACATGGAAAAATAAAGGAAGGCTCTATTCTGGAGGAAGGTTTAATATAGTTTACTAGGTTGGAGGCCGTGGGAGGCCATCGCTAGTAGTTAAGTCTCCCGTCATGGCCCTTCATGGTCCTTCTTTTCTTCCTCTTAACCGTCTTAACCCGCATTTCCGCGCTGGAAAATTATGGAAAAACTGTTTGTTACTAGCAGCTTCTTGTTCCTAGTAGTAAGGCCAGGAGCGCCCCGTTCGTAGCGTCCGATCGCTCCGTTCGAGTCGCGATGCCCCAGTAGCTCCGTTCGTAGCGTCCGAATGCTCCTTGAGCTTCAGGCGCCCGCCGGCCTTTTGGAATTCGGCACACCAAGGTCTGTTGGTTCACCTTGACGAGGACTTGCCTGGCAACCACATATCTTCATCCTTTCCCAGAACGGTGATTCTTGCTTCTGGGCCACCCGTGGCGTTCGGCTCCGCCGACGACATAACCACTTGCATAGCCAAAATCCTCCCAATCCTGTGCCATCGCAATTAGGTTAGAGGCCATCGCCAGTAGCGATTGCTCTTAGGTTGGAGGCCATCGCTAGTAGAATTCAAGCTATCGCTATCAGGTTGGCCGCCATCGCTATTATATACATTGGAGGAAATGCATTTCAAAACGAAATCCCTGTCACATGCGTTCTGAAACGAAATCTTCCCTCCGAACCTCGTCATCTTCATCGGACACCTCCTCTTCTGTTTCTGGGATCTCTTCATCTCTTTTGAGTGATTGCCTTCCTCAGTTTTGTCGCACAACACAGAAAGATATCGTGGCACCATGACTTGTTGTATCTCGTGATAACTCTGCAGGTGAAGTCATCTGAAGATATGGAAAAAAATGTTTACAAACAGTCTGAGACTTAAAGTGTGCACTTGTTCCTAGTAGTAACAAGTGCCTCGCTAGTAGTAACAAGTGCCTTACTACTAGTAACAAGAAGCTATTATAGTTAAAATTCTAATATTATTTAATTTAATTCAATATATATTTAATTTAACAGTCTGAGACTTAAAGTGTTTTTTTGAGCTCTATCATTAAGTCGACTTGTTCCTAGTAGCCTTCTTGTTACTACTAGTAAGGCACTTGTTACTACTAGCGATGCACTTGTTCCTAGTAACATTGGGGCACCCTTACACTATTGTCCTGTCTGAGAATGTAGCGGTCCCGCGCCTCCTTGCGAGCCCGCAGCCTGGTCACAACACAACACGGAGTTCACACAGAGGTTTCACATAGGAACAAGAAGCTACTAGGAACAAAGGGTATCGCTACTTGTAACAAGGGCATCGCTATTGGTAGCTAATTTGCTACTAAGAACAAGAAGCTACTAGGGGCTCCTGGCCTTACTACTAGGAGCAAGGACGCTACTAGGGGCTGGCATCGCTACTAGCAGCAAGAAGCTAGTTTCATGGTGCCCTTCACCTTGCTTGGATCTGCGCCAAGGTTGTACGTGACTTTGCCTAGGGTGGGTCCGACGCCCCGACGTCGGCGGGTCCGACAGAGTCGGTTTCGAGCGCGGCGGACAGAGCTGCGAGATGCTCGCATCTGTCGCGGCAAACTGTTTCTGGTAGTAACAAGGTGCCTTACTAGTAGTAACAAGGTGCATCGCTACTAGGAGCAAGGATGCTACTAGGAACAAGTGCATCGCTTCTAGTAACAAGTGCCTTACTAGTAGTAACAAGAAGCTACTAGAAACAATGAGCCAAAAGCTTCTTGCTCCGTTCGTAGTAAGGCCAGGAGCCCCTAGTAGTGTCCTTGCTACTAGTAGCGATTCATCTTGTTACTTGTAGCTTCTTGCTACTAGTAGTAATGCCTAATGCTTTTCAGTACCGGTGAAAGGCTGAATGATGTCCTACAGAAGGTGGTAAAGCCTTAGGCTGTTGCCAGGGTGGAGGCCATCGCTCTTAGGTTGGAGGCCATCGCTAGTAGGTTGGAGGCCATTGCTATTAGGTCAGTCCCCCTGCTATATCCCATCTTCCAGCTTTAGAGTCTTGTGAGTACTCTCGTTTATTCTCTCTTCTCTCCATTTGTCTCTAAGTTCAATCTAAGGAATATCTGCTCTGTACTCCCTCCTTACTGGTGCTGCACTCATCACACTATACACTATACACCATACACCTGCCATACTTTCTGACAACTCCTGCCAACGCTCAAAAATGGAAGGTATGGGATTGGTGTTTAATTTGTGGTGTAGTGTTTTACATAGTTAAAAGAAACTTGCTACCAGGTTCCCTGACTCTACTGAGGCTGAGGCTTTGCGAGAAGAGGCCAACCTCCTGAGCAAATCTTCCGGGTTTTGGACAATTCAGGATAGTTGGGAGCCAAGCTTGAAAAAGAAGCTTCAAAAAGGTATATGTCTTGTTCCTCTCCTGAAGCCAAGATTTACAAGCTTTAAGACACAAGAGCAGAACCAGTTATGGGAAGTGTGAGAACAGGATTGCTAAAAAAAATACGATGAGGATGAACACACTACAGAACAACGAAGCAACACAATGAGGGCAAGTAAAGGCAACGAATAAGAGACAAAGGTAACAATAATAAGGACAATTGGCAAAGTTAACTCTCTGATACCAGGCAGATTGATTCGAAACAGTGTCTAGGACAGCCTTCCTAAACTTTCCGCGCCTGCCACTGCCTGTCCAGCACATCTTTACAAGACCTGAGGCAAATTCCGATCAGACTGCTCCAACTAGATCAGCAGACATCAGACTGCTCCGTTAGACTTGTTCGTTTCTGGCGGCCTCCAAGCTGAGGCCCACGACTGGTCAATCCGATGGCGACGTCACGCTCGGTTTGCCTGAGACGCAAACGTGAGAAGCACTCGGTTACGTGCATCGGTTCGGTCATAAGAGGTCGGAAACACTTTGTCTAAAAAGGGTAAAAAGAATTAAAAGAACACAGCCAAAGGGTAAAAAGAATTAAAAGAACACAGCCAAAGTAGAAAAAGAAGGACTTTAGCACAGGCAAACATGCACTCCCAAAAGTCGGCTGCATACTTAGAGCATGTTGAAGGCTGCCTGGTCAGGGTGTCTTTGCTTAAGGTAAGTGCCTGGTGAGACGCTCACAAGGCCAGGGCCGCCAGGGCCTCTTGGAGCTGGAAGAGCTTGCAGAGCTCGCAGCTGGGAGAGCTGGGAGCACCCGAAGCACCGCCATGGCTCAGCTGCTCAGCTCATAGCCACAAACGGATCTTAGGGCTGTTCTCGTTCAATGTCTTCATGATCTTTTCAAGTCATAGAAGAGGACGTGTGATTGAAGTTCACTTCATCTGCTTTTCAGTCAGTGTGAAGGTGGCAGGGGTAGGGATTTCTTGAGAACGCTTTCGTCTCCTCCTGAGCTACTTGCCTACTATTGCCGACTTGTTCACCTGCAGACTAGAATGCCTTTGGACTTCAATGTAAAAGAAAAAATATATCCATTTTTGTTTGCTATTAGGAGCAAGGACGCTACGAACGGGGCTCCTGGCCTTACTACTAGGAGCAAGGACGCTATGCGTTTGCTATTCCAAAGAACCAGAAAGAAAGGTCACCGGTGACCGGAGGTGACCGGAGCAAGCCGCTCCAAAACCGCCCGCCGCGAAACCGCGGCGCCTCCATCCAGGTCCACGTCGCTTTGGGAACCACATCATCTCGCCGCGAGATTCTTACAGAACAGCCTGCGCTTCCATCGTTTGGCCACGTCTCTTTCAGATCGTGAATAAATTAAAGCAAACACAAACAAATAACCAAAGTTGGCCAAAGCAATTGATGGAACTGTGTGCAATATTCAAGGCTGTTTTTAGGTTGGAGGCCATTGCTATTTGGTTGGACTAGTAGGTTGGAGGCCATCGCTGCCTAGGTCAGTTGTCCGGAACTTCTTTGGCGCACACTTTGAGACCTCAGTTGGAGGTGACGGCGCTCTTGGTTTCAAATGAATGCCCGAGAGGGCGGAAATGTGGAACAAGTTTCTGCAAGCACATGAGCAAGTCGTGTGAAACCGTTTTTGCATCAAGAAAACCCTCTAAGTAAGCTCTATGCGGGCAAGTCGTGCATGACATGAACCACTGCTGCAGCACGGCAAGGCCAATTCTTAATAGCCGCAGCCTCCAAAGTACATCAACCCAATAAGAATGGCCTCCACCCTAGAAGCAAAGGCCTCCAACCTAGAAGCAATGGCCTCCAACCTACTAGCGATGGCCTCAAGCAAATTTGAAACTGTTGAAACTGCAACGTTGAACCACCGGAGTCCCAGGTCCGCCTGCAAACAATAAAGCCTTCTGTTGTCAAACGTGAACCAGCAAGGCTCTCCTCGCAGCACATGTTTTGAAACAACTTGTCACTAAGAAAATATTGAATCTCGTATGGCGCCTTGGTATGAAACCATAAATGTGTTTGTGGCCAATGTTGAAACAGTTGTAAAAATTTGCACAACTTTACCATTGTTCATACGGCAATAAAAGCGTAAAATGTTCACAGATATAAACAACTTTTTTGTTGCTACATTTGGACAGCGCGGGCAACCCGGCCTGCTATTTCGCCGGCAGCCGGCCGGCCGGCTGGCCAAATAGCGGCCGGCCGGCCGGCCATGTACTAGTAGTACTGGTAGTAGTAGTAGTAGTAGTAGTAGCCAGCTGGCCGGCCGGACGGCCGGCCGGCCGGCCGACGCGGTCGTTGGCTGGGCGGTGGATCTTGGCCGGCCGGCCGGCTGGACCGTGGTTCTCGGCCGGCCGGCCGGCCGGCGTGGATCTTGGCCGGCCGGCCGGCCGGCCAGCTGGACTGTGGTTCTTGGCCGGCCGGCCGGCTGGTTGGCTGATCGAGAAATAGCGGGCCGCGATAAGCTCGCAATGTACAGACAGCGAATGTACAGTTGACCAATCAAGCAACTTCAAGGACATGTGCGTCAACAAAAAGCACAAAAAATGTGAACACAATTGCCCAAAAATTGCTAATAGCAATGCCGAAAATCTGTAGGGCTTCACACGATTTCACTAAACTCCCTTTGTAGGTCGGGCGTTGCCAAATAGCCGAAGCTTGTGGTACCACTATCTGCATACAGCAACTGCAGATTCGATGTCATGTCTAGGTGTCCACTGGGAACAGGAAATTGGTTGGATTGTATCGTTGAATCGGTGCGATTCGGTAAATCGGTGTAAACCGGTGTAAATCGGTAAACCGGTGCGGTCAAGTACCAGACGCGCCTGATGGCAATGCTCCAAAGCAAAGAATCAAGCACAATGAACATTCAGACTTCAAGCCATGTGCTATTCTGTATGAGTCAGTCATCAAAACATCTTCACAACAAAAGGTCCAAAAGGTTGTTCCCTTTTTTTACGCCGCACATGGAAAAATATACAAGCATAGACCCCAAACAGCTTCAAAACGATTCGCTTCGACCAATATTAGTCAGAAATCGATTTCTTAGTACACCCTACTTTCACCCCAAGAGCAAACTGCTTCATCAATGAATTTTTGTCGGCATTGACATCGCTATTTGTTCTGACACACTCCTCTCCAGTAGACCGGGCCACAGAGACCCACAGAGTTCAGGGGCGCGGCCAAGACAAGGACAAGAAGAGGACAAGGCCCAGCAAGCCGTCCATAGCACACGAGCGCGCACGCGCTCGCCCTGCTCTTTCTCTCTCTCTCTCTCTCACTTTCTTTTTAAGTTTCTCTTTCTCTGTCTTTCTCTCTGCAGCGCGCGCCCTAAGCGCGCCCTTCTGGAGCGTGAGCGCGCCGTCCATAGCACACGAGCGCACGCGCGCTCGCCCTGCTGTCTGTTTCTTTCTGTCTCTCTCTCTCTCTCTCTCTCTCTTTCTTCTTTCTCTTTAAGCTTATCTTTCTGGGTCTTTCTCTCTGAGAGCGCGCTCTGAGCGCGCC